CTCGTCATCTCTTAAATTAACATGCTTCTGTCTTCCTTTAATGATGACAAGAAATTAATATCCAATGCCAATTACTATGCAGACACACTAAAACTCCTCAGCAAAAAATAAAATATTGCTTTTAATTTTTTAGTTTAATTTTCCAAAGAAGTCAGACTTTGAGGACATCCACCATTTAATAGAACAACTCAAAAGAAATAAAGAACTGGAAGATAAAGATATTAACTTGGTTTGACTCTCTAGGTTTGGTTAGAGAACATGATGAATTTTCAGCAGATTATTTGTTAATTTTTTCAGGATATATGTTTCACTATTCCCCAGGTTTAATGTTTGAAAGACTCTGAAAAGCCCTTTAACCTTTTAAAAGCTACAGGTTGGCTGTCTCATCTACAAGAATAAACAAGTCTTACAGGTGAAGAGAAGTGGCATAAGAAAGTGGGAATAGCACCAGAAGTATCCAAGAAATGTGCATTCCATTCTCAGTTCTGGACTCAATTAGCTGTGTGACTTGGTCAAGCCACTGCCTCAGGGGCCACAGTTATTTCATATGCCTGTAATCTTATGCTCTGAGCCACGTTTACCTTGAAGTAGATTTAGATCCAATAATGGGCATACGCAGTAGTTCTCTGACTCCAATCTTTACCCATATTGCCGGACATTAAGTCCCCATGTTATTTCTAGGTGTCACCCAGCATTGACTCATACATGGTCCTGGACCTAGTGACTTCAATTTCTTATGATTTATACTTTGTTCCTTCTCTTATTTTTATACTTTCTTTGGGAGTTTATAGCTGCAGTCTCCAAATTGAGACTTAAATATCTTCCCCTGACACCACAGCTGTAGTTCAGGGTTCCACTGGGCACTGGGTGGTATCTCTGGAAACCTTAGGGCACCAAAATACGTGGAGCTCCCCATTTGGGGATACCCCATGTCCGCTGGTGCTGCCCTACATCCACCATTTAATAGAACAACTCAAAAGAAATAAAGAACTGGAAGATAAAGATATTAACTTGGTTTGACTCTCTAGGTTTGGTTAGAGAACATGATGAATTTTCAGCAGATTATTTGTTAATTTTTTCAGGATATATGTTTCACTATTCCCCAGGTTTAATGTTTGAAAGACTCTGAAAAGCCCTTTAACCTTTTAAAAGCTACAGGTTGGCTGTCTCATCTACAAGAATAAACAAGTCTTACAGGTGAAGAGAAGTGGCATAAGAAAGTGGGAATAGCACCAGAAGTATCCAAGAAATGTGCATTCCATTCTCAGTTCTGGACTCAATTAGCTGTGTGACTTGGTCAAGCCACTGCCTCAGGGGCCACAGTTATTTCATATGCCTGTAATCTTATGCTCTGAGCCACGTTTACCTTGAAGTAGATTTAGATCCAATAATGGGCATACGCAGTAGTTCTCTGACTCCAATCTTTACCCATATTGCCGGACATTAAGTCCCCATGTTATTTCTAGGTGTCACCCAGCATTGACTCATACATGGTCCTGGACCTAGTGACTTCAATTTCTTATGATTTATACTTTGTTCCTTCTCTTATTTTTATACTTTCTTTGGGAGTTTATAGCTGCAGTCTCCAAATTGAGACTTAAATATCTTCCCCTGACACCACAGCTGTAGTTCAGGGTTCCACTGGGCACTGGGTGGTATCTCTGGAAACCTTAGGGCACCAAAATACGTGGAGCTCCCCATTTGGGGATACCCCATGTCCGCTGGTGCTGCCCTGAGCTCCCTATGCTTGTAGAGGGATCAGTGACATTGCTCTTCAGAAACACTCTGTTTCCTGTAGTCTCCACACTCCCAACACTGCTCCTTCAAATCCGGCTGGGTAAAGAGAGAGGAAGGGAGAGAAAGAGGGCGTTATAAGCGTATATTCGTGAAGCGACCATGATCCAGACACACAGAGTGGATCTTCTTTTGCTGTCTCCCACTCTGTTTAGGCTTCTAGTATGCCTCAAAGTGTTAGGAGAGTTGCTACTCAGACATATGACTGGGTAACTTACCGAGGGATCATCCAGCTTGAACATTTCCATAAAATTAAAGTGTTCTAGGAACAGGCTTATCCTTCCTGCATTGAGTTGAAAAAATACAGGCAATACACCAAGTGAAATGGCTCCCCAACAACACTCCAGAAAACATTTAAGCCTTTGGATTTTGTGTTTTCCAATTCTCTATAAAAATGATAAGAATCCTGGACTTCATCTGAAAAGAGTCTTATTTGTTAGCTGACCCCTAAAAAAAATATCAGGGAAATTTTTTCCAGAAAGAAAAAGACAGAGGTTATTAGTTAAGAGGTTTGTATTTTTAGGAGAAGGACTTTAAAAATCGATACATATACTCTAAAAAATATTAAGGATTTAGCCAGAAAAAGTGAAGCAATGATAGGAAGACATAGGTAAGATGCCCGCTGTCTTCTTTAGAAATCCTGAGATGGCAGTTTTGGAAAAGATGATTAATGCTTACAACAAAAAGGAAGTAGACTTACTAGAAGTCACCATGAGTTCACCGAGAACAGGATCTGTAAGGGTTGATTCATCACCTTTGACAGGGAAGTCAGACTGGTAGATGACAAAGGGTAGCAGACAATGTGTAGCAAGAATTTATTGACACACTTGGTAGTTTTCCTTCTGATGTCCTTAAGGAAAAGATAGAGTAGCTGGGTGGGGAACTAAGTGAACAGCTGGACCTACAGACTGATGATCGATTGAATGAGGGATGCCAGTCTGGGTTAAGGTTTCCAGCGGGATGCCGAGGAGCTTACATAAGTGCTGCCCTGTTCAACACTTTTATCATTGACCTGGAAAAGTTGAGCATTGCCAAATTTTTCTTTGATGGGCCAGATGACTATCTACATCTGGAGGTATGCACTTGATTCTGGAAGGAACTGCTTAGACATGGGGGGCATTGGGAAGCCAGAAAGTGTTTTGAAGAGAGTGACCAGATTGGTGACCTGAAGGAGTGTAGTCATGTGATACAAGAAACTGGTAAGTTATTTGGGGATATTCAGGCCAAATAATAGGGAACCCAAGAAAGACATGACAGTGAAGGGACAGTGTGCTTTCCTTGGGTTGAAGGGTTGTGATCAATGAGTCAAACAACAGGAAGGCAATCTCAGCTTGGTCTATAGGAGGAATTCTCAGAATGTTTATTTTAAAAAATGCTGAAAATGAAACTTGAAAAAAAGCAAATGTCTATGGATTCATCTATAAATGTACTAGAAATTTTAGCAGGATTATTTTAAGGGTGCTAACAACTTATTGTAAATATATAGGAGAATAGAGGCCGATAAGTCAATTTAAAAAAACAAGTGCTACCCTGTTCCAACAATGGTAAGTTATACAATAAAGCCATAATAAAACCCTGTGGATCTGGTGCATCCACCGGTAAATAAGCCAATGGAAGAGAAGAAAGAGCTTAGTGACAGACCGATGTGTTTAGGGGAACGAACTTGGTAAGTGATGGAGAAATCACTCAAAGCAATGGCAAATTGATGGACTGCTCAAAGGGTGCTGTTGAAGAAACTGATAGACCTTATAGGGGAAAAATATAGCTGGAAAACTCTCACAATATAAAGTTAGACATGTGAATTAAAGAGCTAAATGTGAAAGATAAACTCTCAAATGTACAGAACAAAATATAGAAACACATATTTGGGATTTGAGAGTAGGAAGAACCTAAATAAAATGTCCAAAGTACAAAGTATGAAGCGAAAATTAGTCAATTGTCTATTTCAAAAATTAAGGATTTTGAGTGATAACATATATAAAGTTATCAGATCATTGACAAATCAGAAAAAGTTATTTGCACGGTGAACACCATAAGAGGTTAATACCTAGCTATTCCATAAGTAAGCATGTAGGATATACAAACATCCACAAGCATAAGACAAGAAGACTGTTTGGAAAATGGTTCTGTTAAAAAGGGCCCATGAGACTTTGGTTTCCTCATTCACTCATTCAATAAATATTTACTCAGTGCCTATCACATATTAGCACTGTTCTATGTACTGGGGATACAGCAGACAAAATTCCTTGCACTAATGGAATTTAAGTACTCTACAAATTTTTTTTTAACCAGCAATATGAACAAGAAATAGTTTCTACTATGTGAATTTTTCCTTTTAAATTACAATCATGTCATTTTAAAATTGGAATTTTTAGGGCATATTTCTTCTAAGTACATACTCTTCCACAATGATAAACACCTTCTAAAGCACACATAGCTGACACTTACCCTGTGTTGAGACTGTAAAGCCCAGTGGCTGGGTGGACCCAGAATGCCTAAGACTGAGCCATGGCTCTTCTTCTACACCCTATGCGTGATACTTGGCAATCTCTCTGAACTTTAGTTTCTTCACCAGTAATGTAGCAGTAATGGTAAGATTTGCCATAAAATTGGTGTGAGGATTAAATGAGATAGCATCAAACAGAATGGCATCTGGCACATGATAAAAACTCAGTGTTGGTCATTTTTACATCTATATTGTGATTATGATATTATAATTCCAAAAATTGCTCTTTTCTACACATCATATTTTCAAAATTAGTATGCTAACACCTCTGTGCTATTAATCAGGCAATTCATTTTTTTTCTTTAAGTAATAATCAGAAAAGGAAGCCATATGCTTTCCTGAGACTCTTCCCTCCACGTGAGGTGTGTCTCATGGATTAACCATTAAACCTAACATACAAAACCTGAACTCTGGGTTGTAAGGCTGGAAGGGATATGAAAAACCATCTTGCCCCCATTAGACACGGGAGGACTCAAAGGCCTGGAGGAGGGAAGTGCCCTGCCCTGAGTTTGCACAACTAGAACCATGGCATGTTTTATGTGGTTGTGCTTAATTGATCATGGTTAGAAAAGATTATTAAGATTAGGAAATCAAGGTTGTGATTAGGAAAGACTGATCTCATCCAGCCAATTCTGTAAAGTGGGTGTGGTCTGGAGAAATGAAGAATCACACTTAATTAGAGAGCTGGACACAGAGGACTCATGGTTTTTGCCCGTAGGAAGTGCCAGCGAAACTCCAGCTGACAGTCATTCTTTCTTTCAGTGGGCGGAGCCAGTCTTCCTCATTAGAATAAGGTAAACAGGGTCAACCCAATTATAAATGGAAAAAAAATGTGTCCTCTGTCATTGAGGGTTGCAGAGAGTGGCGACTGATTGGAGAACATAGGTGCAGCCATCAGCAGTATCAGAGCATGAGTTCCAAGTCAACATCCATAGGGGTCATCGGAGCTCCTTTCTCAAAGGGCCAGGTAAGTGAAAGCCTTGTCTTGAATAACTGGAATTTACTAGAAAGCTTCAAATTTTAACTTAGTAAGGGGGTACTTAGTTAAGCTCCCTGATACCACCTGGCCTTGGAATATCTATTTTAAAGTCCTCTCACCACTTGGCAGCATTGCATGATTATGATCAGAAACCTTTTTTTATTCTTGTGGCCCCTAATCTCAGCTGCAGTCAATGGTATTTCAATCTACTAAAATTTTCTTCACATTGTTTAAGATAATGTATTTTTATTTGAACAGAAATGGGCTGTTTCTACATCGTAGCTACTCACTGGGACTTCATGCTCCCAGCGCTTTCCATGGTACAGTGCCTAAGGAGAAGGGGAGAGAATTTTATGACAATACTTTTGTTCAGTTATGTAATTAATGCCTCAACACACTTTATAGACTGGCATCAACCTTCAGACATTTTTGTGGGTAAGATAAATGTCATTGGTTTAGGCAGCTTTGTGAATGATTCATATTTGAGAGTTTTAATGTTCCTATAAAAGTGTTAGTTCACAGACTAGGTAAAATCCTCACATCCCTTTGAGGGAGAAACAAAAATGAGGAAAATCTGACTGCAAGTTGGAGACATCAAAAGGACTAATGGATTTATGAAATTCCCAGATTGCGAAAACATACCAGCAACACTGAAACGTACAGTCCTTTTTTTCTTCTGCCAGGGCACAGTTAGTCTGGTAAATGCACTGTGAGTACAGGCACCTTAGACTTCAGCATGCACCTTGCGTACAGAACAAAAAACAAAAGCAAACAAGATAAAGTGTGAACTGAAACTCCTAAGTCTGATTTTTTTGTCTTTGTTTTGAATGGAGTCCTCTCCAGCTTAGACTTCTCTTAGTTGTGAACTCAGTTGTACTCCTCTTAGCCTTGCACTCTGTCTTTCTTTTGCAAAACAAGCCAGAGAGGTCAGATTAGAGACCCAAATAGCATGTGGACTGTCAGTGAATGCTGTCTCACTTCCGCCTGGAAATCCTTCAGCGCTCTCCCAGAACACAGCGGCATTTTGCTGGCACAGAGGTGTTTTTTTCCATGCTGGGGATAATGGCAAAAACAATTTTAATTGCTCACCTACTCAGGACAGGGTCTCACAAAGTCAGAATTGAAATAATTGACCAAACAAAAGGAAAGGAGGGAGGAAAGAAGGAAGGAGAGAAAGGAGGGGCGACAGGAGGAGGGAAGGAAGGATGAACCAGCTGGAATATGCTCTGGCCCCTGGATGTGAGCAGAAGGCCTTAGGCTAAGGATAGAC